GTGAGGCAGATGTTTGCCGGCAAATCCCCTCTATCATTTCTCAATCAGAAAGAAGATTAGAAATGGGATTTTCAGCTCAGATGGGGTTGAAGGGTGATATTTATGCCAGAGAAATACTTCACGCCACAGCTAAAAAAAAATTGCTTTGGGGAAAAAACCCCTCAACTTCTTATGTGTTATGAATATATGAAAGTGAAACCTTCATCTTGGACAGGAAGCGGTGGTATCATAGGTGAAAGCATCAGCCTTCCACTTCCATTGGTGCGGCTGCAGAGAGACAAGAAATATTGTAGCTGGCTCTTTCTATTCAAGGATTTTATTCTCATCCACATACTCACTCATTCCTCTGGGGTGAAACTGAAAAGGTGGCAAGTTAAATAAACCAACATGTTGATATTGGTTAATTCAGGTATGATGATTAATTTTATGTGTTAACTTGATTGGGCCATGGGGTGCCCCAGCATTTGATGAAAGATTACCCTACTGGGTGTTTCTGTGAGGGTGTTTTTGGATGAGGTTAACATTTTCATCAGTAGCCTGAGGAAAATAGATGGTCCTCCCTCATGTGGGTGGGCTCCATCCAATCCGTTGAGTGACTAGAACTAAAAGTAGACCCCTTCCTTGAGTAAGTGAGAACTCTGACAGCTTTCAGACTACATCAACTCTTTTGTTGATTTGAACTTGAGCTGAAGCACTGGCTCATCATAGGTCTCAAGTCTATTGGCCTTTGGATGGTAAATAAACTATCAGTTCCCCTAGGTTTCTAGCTTGCTTACACACAACGCAGATCTGGGACTTGGCCTCTATAAGCATGCATCTCCATACATGAAAGAACTGGCATGAGCCAGTATATATTGGCATGAGCATCCATATCTATCTATCTATCTATCTATCTATCTACACACATATATATACATATATATATATCCTATTGATTTTACTTCTCTGGAGAAACCCAACTGATAATTCATAAAGGTAATTTTTGGCACCTTTTGTATCACTCCACATTTTCTAATTTTTCTATAATGAGCATATATAATCATTGATTTTTAAATTACACATTATTAAGCAAGCAACAGGAAAGGTCATGCCCTCTTACATCACAAGGGTCTGTACTTCAGCTCAATGTTGTTTCTCAAAACTTCAGAACCTATAAACATTACCTGGAGATTTGTTAAGACTGGGTCCTACCCCTCAGATGTTCTGACTCGGGAGGTCCGGAGTTTGGAACACAGTGTCTGTGTCTCTCCCAAGCCCCCGGATGTTGCTACTCCATGAACCCTGCTTTGAGCAGCAAGGTCTGTGATCATTGTAATAGAGATCACAGCCCCTGACTAAGCGACTGTCTTTTAATATCTTCCTATGTTTACTCCACCAGTTCAGCCCGTTAAAAAATTCTGCTGTGTTTTACAATTGTCTTTCCACCTGGCTTTCTCATGACATGAGAAGATTCTGGAGGGCAACAATGGTGTTTTGCCATTTTAGCATCTCCCTTCCCAAACCCAAGAATCTTTCCTGTAATAGAATTTCAAAAATGCTTGTAGAATCAATGGAGTGTTTATCTTTGTTCTGGCTTCCCAAGCCATCTAAAGGCGGCAGGCTGTTCTGAGTTTCCACACAAAAGGGCAGAAGCAGAGTTAACACAATAAGATGCTGTCTGATATTGTCTTCTGCCCCGTCCAAGGAATTTAATTTTCTATAAGCCCAGTTCCAATTCCCTCTGGGACAGTTATATTGAGAACCTTAATGCTTCAGTACCGTCTTGTGACATTAGGTCTTTCCTATTGAACGTTAATGATCTTGGGGGATGCTGAGTTTGCTCAATTTGTACATCTAGACATGTGAACCCATGGAATTATGTAGACAAAATGTTTCAGTGTTGAAATGCCTTTCTCAGTTTTGATCCAAATGTGTGATATTGGATAAAAATATCCTAGAGTTACACGTGGGTAATATTGACGGAACTTGACAAATAGTCAAATACGATGATCTGGCGAGTCATAGGGAAAAGTCTGAGCAGTATTACAACTTTCTACATTTTCATTTGGACTTGAGTCTTCATGTCCCCATTCTGGTACACTCTGTGTGCCATACCGTAGTGACTAGCTTTCGTTTCTTAATGCTGTTTGCCAGCTTCTTTTATTATTGTTAGACCATGATCGCGTTCACGCAGCACTTTTAAGGCATTCAGAGTGGAAATCTTTTGCCACCACTCACCTTCCTCTGCCCTCCCACTTTTCAAACTGTATCATTACCTTCTCTTTTTCAGAGCTTCCTGTCATAGCCTCATAATAGAAGTTGAGCTTCTTTGCATATGCATCTGCATGTCTTCATTAAGAGGAAGATGGCAAAGTGATTAATGAGTGTTATTTCTCATTTCACAAAAGGAATATGTCTATATTTTATACTTAAAGCACTGAAAGAAATAGTCCTAAGTTAGCTTAATATCAAATCATTTACTGCATGCATATTACTTAAAATGTTTTTCTTAGAAAGTACGTACTTATGCTAACTGTAGGCATGTTGGAAGTAAAAGAGACATAAGTGAAATAAAAACCGTCCATATTCCCAGCAGCACGCATAAATACATTCATGCTGTAGTTGTGTTTGTCTCCCTGTGGGGATTAGCAGTTTTATCATCTGCTTTTTGCAGTATATGTTATGTAGGAGTATGAACATACATATGAAAAAAAACCTTGGTAGGACTTGTATCAAAAGTGCCTATCTATTGTTAGCCAATTTGACTATAAATTACATTTTTTTTAAAAAAGTGCCTATCTTTGAGTATTGAAATTACTGAGTACTTTTTTATTTTTTAACATTTATTTATTTTTGAGAGACAGAGAGACAACAGACGAGCAGGGGAGGGGCAGAGAGAGAGAGAGACAGGTACAGAATCCGGAGCAGGCTCCAGGCTCTGAGCTGTCAGCACAGCTCCTGATGCGGGGCTCGAACTCATGAACTGTGATATCATGACCTGAGCCAAAGTCAGATGCTTTAACCAACTGGGCCACCCAGGCACTCCACTATGAGTACTTTAACTTTTCTGTATTGTGTAATTTTTAAATTTTTTTTAATGTTTTATTTATTTCTAGGAGAGAGAGAGAGACAGCGTGAGCAGGGGAGGGTCAGAGAGAGAGGGAGTCACAGACTGAAACAGGCTCCAGGCTCTGAGCTGGCAGTCAGCATAGAGCCCGACGCGGGGCTCGAACCCACGAACCGCGAGATCATGACCTAAGCGAAACTCGGACGCTTAACCGACTAAGCCACCCAGGCGCCCCTGTATTGTGTAATTTTTTAAATGATGATATTTTACTTTTACAATGGGAGACATTGTGAAAAAAAAAAAAAGCTACCTTCATTTTGGAACAAAGTTGTATTAAAATTTCTCCCTGTCATTACATAGTCCTAATGTGATTTTTAATGGCTATCTAAAACCCCACTGTATGAATCTACAATAATTTAATTCATTACTCCTCTACTGACTGAAATTTAAATTGTGCCACATATTTTGCTTTTTTGATATATGCCGGGATAAAAATCCTTGCACGTAAATCTATGAATGCCTTTCTGTTTATTTTCTTAGGCTTGATTGCTCTAAGTTGAACATGTCAGTGGTAGGGCCACCAGCTGTAATTTTCTAGAAAGCACCAGACATAGTGTATTCTACATAAATGGTGCAAATTCAAAATACAATTTGAGCAGCGTCTGCTGGAGTAAATCAATGACTGAACACGGTCAACAGCTATGCAAATGTTTAATGGCCTTGATAAAAATTTGCCAAACTTCGCCTTCTGGAAAAATCATCTTAATTTGTACTTATTAACTCACCCCACAGGTCTCGGAATTGAGAATTAGAGATTTTTTTTAAACTCAGATTTGTGAGGGAAAAAATGGCATCCCTTTGCTATTTTCATTTGTATCTGTTCGATTCAGAGTGAGATTCAAATTTTTACTTGCGTCTATTAATCATTTATATTTCTTCTTTTGCAGATTGCCTATTCACATTCTCTGCCAAAATGCCAATGAGAACCGAGTCAAAAGAGTTGCACCAGGAGTTCTAGGCGTGTGTGTGTTCTTCCTTCTTTCCCCCAATTATACTGCAGCAGTCACTCTTCGTGTCTCTGTGTTACAAATTCGAACTCTTGGTTTGAGGGTCTTACCCAAGCTCCCACAGAATGGAGAGAAATTACATATATAATTTATTGTCAAGTTAGCTAACATACAGTGAATACAGTGTAGTCTTGCCTTTGAGAGTAGAGCCCTATAATTTATCACTTACATACAACACCCAGTGCTCATCCCAACAAGTGCCCTCCTCAATGCCCATCACCCATTTTCCCCTTCCCTTAGCCCCCCACTCCCTTCCACCCTCAGTTTGTTCTCTGTATTTATAAGACTTTTATGGTTTGCCTCCCTCTCTGTTTGTAACTAGATATAGATATAGATATAGATTTAAATAGAAGTTTCTGATTTTCTTTGCTCACAATTCTTTCTTGTGCTTTGGGCCTTCCTTCTGTATTATTTTTCTTCTTCCTAAAGCGTATGCTTTTAAAGTTTCCTCATGACGATTTCTCAGCAGTCATCTCTCTCAATTTTTGCTTGTAAATGTTTTCCGTTTGTCTTTGCTTATGAGCAAAAATTTAGGTTTGTATAGAACACAAGCTGACAGTTAATTTCCTTCAGCACTTTGAACATATCATTTCACTGTGTTCTGACATGTTTTCTCGCCAAAAAGAAGTCCACTACCAATCTAACTATTATTTCTTTTTTGGCTGTATTCTCTTTTTTACTGCTTTTAAGAGTTTTTCCCTCATCTCTGTTTGGAGGTTTTGAAGTTTTCCTACAGTGTGCCTACATGTGATATTTCCTGTTCAAGATCATTGGCCTCATGAATCTGAGGAGCGATGTGTTTTTTTCATTTCTGGAAACTAGCTGTTAACTCTTTGAATATTACCTACTCAAAACCGTCAGTGATTTAGACATATGTTAAACCTCCCCATTCAATGCTTCTTAGCCTTCCTTTCATATTTTTCATTTATTTGTTTCCCTGTGCTCTCCTGTGGGTAATTTATCTTCCCCTTCATTAATTTTCTCTTGTGCTGGTTATCCATCAACTAAAGTATCAATTTATCTAATCTGCTGTTTATCAACTGAATTGAATATATAACTTGGATTTTTTTAATTTTTCATGTTTATCATCTCATTTCATTATTTTTCAAGCCTATTGGGCTGTTTCTCATAGCCTCTTGTTCCTTTAATATACTCTTGATACCCCCCTCATTCTTTTCATTGTGCTGGGCCTTTTCTCCTGCCCCTCCTAAATCCACTCTTCACCATATGCCACCCTGCTCTGTGCCCTGAGCAGTGGATCAACTGGATTGCACGGATGGGTTCCCTTGTCCAGAGAGGTTCCTGCTTCTTTCCCAGGACTCGCAGACCTTTGTTTGCTATTCGGACAGCATTCAGACCCCAAAGGGTTTCCATGCTTCTCCCAAGGGGCAGATGGCTTTTGCTTCTACTTTTGCTTTCCTCGGAAACAGCAAATCTTTGTTTGAATACTGCTATGAGGAGAAAGATGTGCTGTCCTTCCTCTAAAGGCACATGGCTTTGCTCCCACCCTTCCTCCACAGCACTGGAGACCAAAGAGTTTGCTGCTTCTTCCCCAACCGCTTTAGGATCCTGCTTCTTATGAGATGAGCAGCAAGACACAGCAGCGACAACCTCCTCGGGTATCCTGTGTCCCCAAAAGGGACTCTCTCCAGTCTTTCTCAAGAGCACCCAGTGGAGACACTGGAGAGGAGCTTGGGGGTGGGTAAAACCCCCTTGTGTCTGGGTGGGTGGGGGGCTCCAGTTACTGTAGACTGGTATACTGGCATATATATTATATATATTATTTTTGAAACATCTTCTCCCCCACTCTATGAGAGCACCTCTTCCTCCCGTCCACTGTCAAAGGCAAAACAGTTCAGGCATCCTGACTCTCCTGGGGTTGGAGGGGCTTTCTCCCCTCTGTGAAATTCAGTTTCCAGCTTGCCATGTGGTCTCAGCTCTCGGATGAGTCCAGGAAAGTTGGGATTTTGTACATCGTTCAGTATTTTCGTATTAAGATGGGAGTGACATTCCCCTGCAGCTTGCTGTAGCCCAGGCAAGAGTGGGATTCCCAGGATTATCTGCGGCAGCAGCACCTTTCACTTCACAAACACTCTGGTTTGTGGGGTAAGTTACGCTGCCGCTCAAATAAATAAATACATAAATAAGGCCAGAGCTCAAAGCCGTAAGCACCAGGTAGATGCCTTCAGGCCAATGCCAGCTACAGAGCTCACTGCCCTCTTCTTTTGCTGGCCTGAGAGAATTTCTCTTTTTTTCCTGGAAGCTCAGGTATGCATTTAAAAAGATGTTCTTTTCTTTAAAAATAACTACCTTTTTTTTATGTTTTACTTATTTTTGAGAGACAGGGAGAAACAGAGCACAAAGCAAGGGAGGGGCGAGAGAGACACAGAAGCCGAAGCAGGCTCCAGGCTCTGAGCTGTCAGCACAGAGCCCGATGTACGGCTCAAACTCACGAACCATGAGATCATGACCTGAGCGGAAATTGGGCACTTAACCAACTGAGCCACCCAGGTGCACCCCCCCAAAAAAATATCTTATCCAGCATTTTTTAGGCAACAGGTAATGGAAAGTCTCTTCCAGAGAGCCAGTGAGTCCTAAAGCCAGAAACAAAAGTTGAAAGAAAAGTGTTTTATAATGCTAAAATTTTAATAACTTACTTTTTTACTTATTAACATTAATGATTCTCGAAATTGTTGATGAGATGGCTGCAGAAATAAAAAAAAGCAATGGTTAATGTGAAATTAATATTTTAAAAATGAAATCCATTAATGTAAAAGATTGACTTTACTAAGCTTTTCTTAAATACTCTAAAAGTTCAATTTATCTGGAGGGTGTTAACATGAATAATTTAAAATTCATTTTCCAACTGCAAGAGAAATAAAATTGATCTTGAGAGTTTTGCTGAATCCAAAAGCTTAGTTATTTTTAACAAATTTTTTTTGACAAATGATGAATGGGTGGTTACATGACGATAGCTAGATGGATAGACTGATACGTAGATTGTTGTTATAGTATACAGATGTAAACTTTAGACATCAATCTTTTGATAACCAAAGGTGAGCCTGAGTTTAGAGGTCAGAGGATTCCTGAGCCGGAACGTTGATCAATGAGAGGGAACGAATCAACTAACAGTAATTGGCCAACTGCCTACGACACTTAGGCTACTCAGACAGCAGTGAGCCTGGCTCCTGGAGGGAAGGTGCAGCTAAGACTTAATGATTTATATTAGCATGCCTCTCGAAAGGACTGAATTATTGCAGGAATTCCCCAAATAAGAAAACCTAGGTACTTTTTGAGCTCCGTTCAGGTGGGAATGTAATCCATACATATTAACCTGCTCCAGCCGACCCTACATCGGGTTTGGGTGATCTGCCTGACTAGATGGCTGTCTCCTTCCTCCTTCATCATTCCATGAGTCTTCCCCTGTGCACACCAAGTACTCAGTACCTTTACAGATAGAACTGATTGTTCTTTACAGTCAAAGATTAGGCATTGGGGGCTTCCTGCTAAGTCACCTAAGTTCCATTTGAAGGAACTATATGTGAGGGTATGCTTGGAAGCTTCAGTTGTAACTACTTCCTTCCTTAAAAATTGTGGATTTGATAGTCTGTTTTTGGCATTTGCCTACCTCCTCTCTGGCAGGCCAAATAATGGTTTCCCAAAAAGATGTCCTGTTCCTAAACCCTAACACGTGTGAATAGGTTAGTTTACATGGCAAAAGGGGCTTTGTGGATGTGATTAAAGTCCAATCTAATCAAATGAATACTGAAAAATGAAGAATCTTAGCTGTGGTGAGAGAAATCCAATGAAGAAGAGGCAGGAGAGATTCAAACCAAGGTAGAGACTTGACCCATTGCTGCTGATTTTGAAGATGAAAGAAGCCACGAGAAAGCAAATGCAGAGGCCTCTAGTTGAGAGTGACTATGACCCACAGCCAGTAAGGAAATGAGGACTTTCGTCCTATTACCACATGGAACTGAATCTTGCCAACACCGACATGAGCAAGGAAACACATTCTTCCCTTGATCCTTAAGAATGCACCCCGTAGACATCTTGATTTTAAGCTGGTGAGACCATATCAGACTTATCCACTGAAGTATGAAATAATATATATGTGTTGCTTACAGCCATTAGATCTATGGTAATTTGTTACAGTAACACTAGAAAACTAACACGTGTTTCCATTTTCATGTCTCTTATGGCCTACTGCATGCTTCCTTCAGTACTGACTCCATCCAGGCATTCTGGTGCCTTCATGGGTGCTGGTACTGGTCTAGGAAGCCCTACCACAGAGGTGAGCATAGGGCTAATTAAGCAGCGCCCCTCCAAGTCCCTTAAAAGTTCCATCTGGGGTGGAGAGGGATGCTAAGAGAAAGAGTTTGTTCCTCCACTTGAGATGACAAACCAAAGCAGGGGACATGTAAATCTGCATGGGAGAGAACTTGCTTGAACATAAGGATGCCCCAGAAGAAGAAGAAAAGAAAAAAAAAAACACCAAAAAGATTTTAAAGGCATAGTTTAAGCACCCAGAACCAGCTATAACTGAAACAAAGAACCTCTAGACTTTGTGGTTACCTAACTTAAAAAAACAAAAATAAAGACAACCTTTTGTTTAAGTCTGGTTTTGTTCCCCGCCTCTACAAGGGGCTTGGCTGATTAATGTCAGTTTCCCTGGGTTGCAAGGAATACTTGTTGAGCTGATCATGATGGCCTTAGGCACAATGCCTGGAAAATTATAGGCCTCCAACACCAGTTTTATTTATCTTTTGGTCCCTCCCTAGGAAAGCCTCATGCTCTAGATAAATCCTCCACTCTCCTGTCTCCAATCTCAAACTGAGGATTCTGAAAGAAACATGTATCCACGGAAAACCTTCCATACGATGATAATGTTTATTGATGTGCTCATGAGTTACCTTTTCTCATTAAAACTATTAGGAATTGAGGGGCACCTGAGTGGCTCAGTTGGTTAAGCATCTGACTCTTAATTTTAGCTCACAGTTAGTGAGACTGAGCCCCATGTCGGGCTCTGTGCTGCTTGGGATTCTCTCTCTCTCTCTCTCTCTCTCTCTCTCTCTCCTGTCTGTCTCTCTCTCTCTCTCCTCTGCCCCTTCTCCCACTTATATGTGTACGCACTCTCTCTGTCTCTCAAAAGAAATAAATAAGCATTTATAAACAAAACTATTAGGAATCGAAACTGGAGATATACTTTAGCTCCTAAGAGTGCATAGTGAATTTCAGGTCCTGCGATATAAATATGGAGAAAATATTTTCGGCTGGGCATCCTTTTATAGGTACACCTTAAATTATATTTCAGATAATTATCATCCCATCCATTCATAAGACTTGATCATGTATCCATACCTTAAAAAAAAAAACCCCAAAAACCTTTTAATTCCTACCGGAAAACAATTGATACAAGTGTGCTATTCTGAGCTGTTAGCAGAACACATTTGTTTTCCTGTCACATGATTTGTCATAATAGGTACACTGGAGACAATGGCCACGTGAGAGAGAGGAGCACATTTTTATTTTCCAAATCAAAGGATGGCTATCTTTAAAAGAGCAATATTGGCATTCAAACTTGCTATTGGCCAGCTCCTTTTTGGCATGTAGTTTATACAGAAAAATAAAAATGCATTATTTAGAGACACACTGATCATTTTCTTAATTATGTCTCATGGCTGGATTTGGCTGCAGCAAGTTCTATGCTCTGAACTGTTTGTCTCTTGGCAAATACTTAGTTTGTGGAATTCGATTAAATGGCATCCCATAAGGCTTTAGAGCTTGTTTTCCTTACCCACAAGTTTCAGAAATATTAAAGTCTCTGACCTTACACTCGGTACACAGAAGACCCTTGATAAAAACCTCAGGGCTGAACTGAGGAGGATTCTGGGCAAATTCCACTCCCTCTGGGATTCCCCACCCTCTTTGCTTATTCATGACATGGTGCTCTTTCTTCTGGCAAGCTCAGCCCGAGAGCTCTGAGCTGGCTAATGCTGTATATTATTCCATTAGGCATGTATTATGTTGGATGATCTCCCCACAGAATAACCAAGCTCAATTAACAGGTTGTTCCTCTTACAGATCCGTGAAATCCCCTTGGGTGCTCCTCAGGGCTTTTTAGTTGCCAGGAGTGTGGCGGAAAGCGTGCAGGGGATGCGCGTAAGGTGGTGTCAGTCCGTTATTTCATGTGAAGAAGCGATACATATATAAGTAGTAGCAGGGCTCTGCAATCAGGAGTCAGAACTGGGAACCCGATCGACAGTTCATTATGCTCAGCACCCTTTCTCCTGATTGACAAACCTCATAAACAGTCATTTACAAAAAGAGAAATGTGGGTTTGTATCCATTAGAGAAATGGACCAGCTGAGTCACAGAGCAGTGCAAGTTGTTTTTGCCTGAGGTTAGATATTACAGCAAGTCACTCAGACGCATTCCGCGGAGCTGGGAAACAAAGGTACTGAAAGATACATATTTGTCAGGAATGAGGGTCTTTTTTCAAAGCATTCACTAAATATACAAAAGCCATTATAAAGTGGAGATAGGCAGATGTTGCTTAAATGAGCCATCAGATGAATAACTGGAGAAAATACAAACGATGCATGGTGGGGGAGGAGGGGCTAATATTTATAATATCCAAAATTAATTAAAGGAAGGGCAAGTCTCTGGGATCAAATAGAACAAATGTTTTACAACGGATATACATACGAAGGGAGGTGTGATGATTAATTTTATGTGTCGATTTGAATGGGCTCTAGGGTGCCCAGATTAAACATTGTTCCTGGGTGCTCTGTGAGGGTGCTTCTGATGAGATTAGCATTTGACCTGGAGGCTTCAGTAACGAAGATGGCCCTCCCTGGTGTGACTGGGCGTCATCCAATCCACTGAGGGTCTGAACAGAACAAAACGGGGAGGAAGAAGAAATTTGCCCCTTTTTACTGTGAGATCTAAACCTAACTGACTCCATTTTAGAAAAAGCCTCCATCTTGAGGATGAACTAGGCCCGAACTCAGATCCAGGAAACACCGCAGGAAGAACTAGGCAGCCTGCCCTTAGTTACTTCCCTAGCAACAGCAACAGCCAATCAGTTTAAAAGAGGCGCCTATGTCCCAGACGTGCCTCTTAGCAGTTTGTGGTCAGGCCAGATGGGCCGAGCCAATCGGGTACTGACAGGGCAGCCTGTACTAAAAATCAACCTATCAGGGAGTGCCACGCTGGAAAGCCCCCGAATCCCACTGTAACCGCAATAAAAGCCTTGCGACCCTGAGTTCGGGTTCCATACCATCACACCTGCGCCGTGTGCATTGGAGACCCTGCTCGAGCATGAATAAAGACCCTCATGTGTTTGCATCGGACTCGGCTCCTCGGTGGTCTTTGGGGTTCTCGCGATCTGGGCATAACATTACCTGTCTCACTGCTAAACTGGGGAATCTCATCTTCTTATGCCCCTGGACTCGGATATACACCATCCTTTTCCCTGGTTTTCAGGCCTTTGGACCCGGACTGAATTACACCACCAGCTTTCCTGGATCTCCAACCTGCAGACAGCAGATCATGGAACTTCTCAGCCTCCATAATGGCATACGCGAATTCTTCCTAACAAATCTCTATATAGATCCTATCGGTTTTTCTTTCTCCGAAGAACCCTAATACAGAAGACATCTTAAAATCTTGTTTGAGGATTCCCTGTTCCCTAGAGTTGCTCTGGTAATGAAGACGGAAAAGATACATGTCAAGATATTGAAACAAGAGAAGAGCTTCATTAGATCAGTGGAAATCAACTGCTAAACATAAAGTGGCCGAGAAAGCACAAAGTGGCCAAGATTCAAGAGCTCAGAGAAGGCCCCCTACTCCATAAGGTTCTTTGCAGTACGACTACAGAGAACGGGCTTCAGCTGGAAGTCTGAGAGTGCCAGATTCATCGAGGTCAAATACAAGGATCAAAAGGACACAATTCTTATTCCTGCCAGACAACTATGGAATAAGGACGAGGAGAGCTGTAAACCCAGCAAGTGTGCAGGCAGCATCAGAGGAAAGGGAGGAGCTTTTCGGGATCAAATGTGTCAAGCAGGCCCTGAGGAAAAGAAACAGAGCTGCAAATAATCACAGTCCCCTAAAGGACACAAAACCGAAGGAGAAAAGGCAGAAAAAGCCAGTGGTCATGTGCTAGTCTTAGTTACTCTTTAATATACTATCAGCTACTTAATATTCTCTTCCTTCCTTTTAAGGGAAAGATAATATAACAATAAAATAGTTGTGTGTATTTTTTTAATTAATAGAAAATCATTGTGTTTAGACATTTGTATAAAAACAGACAGAAATCACTAATGAAGTGTTGCTTAAAATAACAATTACAAACATCATTTTTGAGAGGTATGCAAATGAAATGGTGAAACTTAGCGACAAAATACCCTGTACATGAATAATTTACAAGAGGTAATTTGATATGATGATACGTTTGCAGGGACTGAATGACGGAATGCTCTTTCCAGATTCTTCTATAAATGTAACATCAGTGAGGTGCCTTTACCAGAGGACAACCATATATTTTGAGTTAAGTACCTTTAAAAAACAACAGTGCTGGGGCACCTGGGTGGCTCAGTTCGTTAAGCGTCTGACTTCAGCTCGGGTCATGATCTCACAGTTCGTGAGCTCAAGCCCCACATCGGGCTCTGTGCTGACAGCTCAGAGCCTGGAGCCTGCTTCAGATTCTCTGTCTCCTTCTCTCTCTGCCTCTCTCCTGCTCGCTCGCTCGCTCTCTCTCTCTCAAACATAAATAAACATTAAAGAAAAAAAACAACAGTGCTGAACATACAATGCATAGACCACCTAGACTAAGTATTAAAGAAAGAAAACCAACAGGAAACAGGAAAAAGCCCACATTTTATTCCCTATGAGATAAGTTCCTTCTTACAGCCAACAGAATTACCTATGAAAATCAAGCCATGATTTGAGTTCATTCTTCTCCTGTTCTAACAATCACCAGGACTTTGATTTTTATCAAAGAGATCAGAACACAAAGCTGGGTCTCCAAGTAGCAAAGAGTTCTTATCTTCAGAGACATGTAGATGAAATTACATGATGTCACATCTCCTTCAATATAATCCATAGGTAAGGGGAATGAGAAGGGATCATAGATGAAACAAGATTGGCTATGAGTCCATAAATGTGAAAACTGGGTTATGGCTGCTTGGGAGTTCATTATACTAGTCTCTCTATTTTTGCATATGTTTGAAATTCTCTAAGATGCAAAAGTTTTTTTTAAGAGCCATAGGATTAAAAGAAAAACCATAAATTAGGGAAAGACATTTGAAATGAGCCGGACAAAAGATGAGAATCCAAAATGTTTCAAGAACTTCTATAAATTGACAAAGGAAAGACAAAGAAACCAATGGAAAAAATGGATAAAAGCAATAATGGGCAATTTATGCAAAGAATAAAAAGTGGTGAACAAAATATCACAAGTGGTGAGTCTTATAAAGTAAGCAGGAAAAGGTAGATTAAAACGACGGTGGGATATTTCATATACCATGAGCAGGACCAAATGCCCTGCAGTCTAATGTTTAGACTGTTTATGGCACAACTGTTTATGGCACAACCAAAACACCACTCTCACCCCCATCTCAAGCAGCCCTGAGATTTTCCTTGACAGCAGGAAATTCCAAAGACTATTCAGAAATCTCAGTCACTCACCCTGATTTCACCAACCTGGAGAACCTCAAATGTCTATTTGTCTTCCACCCTGATCTAGGGTCACCACAACTCTACAAAGTGCAAACAACCACTCTTGCAAAGCTGCAAGATATGTTGTTTAAAAATACTGATGCTCAGTCTGTCTTTTAACAAAAAGGTTCAAGTTATCCCTGCATCGGAGTCATGTTGCCTATAAAAATGTATTCTTTTTTCCAGGGCATATCATGGAAGATCATGTTACTGGATGTGTATCACAATTTCTTACTGACCTTCTTCTAATGAACATTTTGTTGACAATTCATCTATAAAGAGAAAAATCTTTCCCAAGTCCTCCACTGGAATTCTCATTACATTTCCCTTACCAAGCCTGGGCTATATCCCCACTCGGAGAACAATCACTGGCAAAAAGGAAAGTGGTTGCCATGACTGATGAAGGGCAAGGATGACTCAACTCCTGGGCACATTGTTGCCCAAACTAAATTGAGATAGCGAACAGGAAGCATGACTGATGGACAAGCACGTAGTAATCTTGTCTGACATAAAGAAGTGTGATAGAGTTGACTGGGAGAATATCAGGAAATTAGGGAAGCTTTAGGCAACACGTACTAATCTACTAAGTCCACAATGTACCCCTCATGCCGGCCATCACCAATGACTATCCGGCACCAACTCTACACATTGTAGGTGCTCAATACACATTTTAGACTAACTGACTATAGAAGGTGGCAAACTGAGTAGGATTTAAACATGTAGAAATATTTATGGAGGATGGGTATCACACTGATATTAAGAAAGTCAAAAAGGAACAATATTTATTTTTCAGTAATGTAGGTAATAATGAAGCCCAGCTGTTTACCCTCACTGCTAATGGACAGGGTGTGTCCAGTAAGAAGAAGATAACCACCGATCAGAAGAAGAAAAAGGTATGTACCATTTGGGGACAATTCATAACCTCTTCCACTAATATTTACTGAGAATCTATTATACATTGGGCACTATTCTAGGCACTCCATTATACTTATGAACAAAACCAACAAAAATGTCCTTCTCTCAGGAGCTTATGTTTTAGCATAATAATGAGTGAATTACTCATATGAATGAGCAAACGGTAAGTACTAGGAAAAAAAAATAGAGCAGGCCAAAAGGAACCAGTAATCCCAGGTTGGGGGCTGTGGGATGGGTTAAATATGGCGGTCAAGGACATCTCAATGAGAAAGTAACAATTGAGAAAATCTTGAAGGAGGTGAAGGAAAGCCTTGCGAATACTTGCAGGAAGAGTTTTCCTAATATTAGACAGCCCATTTTCCCACTTTACATAGAGACTTTATTACAGGTACCTTCCTTGCCTCTAGCCCTCTAGAAAGATGGGTCTCTCAAATCTTCCTTGAGATATCACTGTATTTCAGGGAAGTGAGCCACTGACTCTTTGAAACAAATTTGGGGACCTCTGTAGGCCTATTTCCAATGTTCCCATTGGTATGAGTTTGATATTTCCTTGCCATTTCATACTTGAAACCAAACTGTAGCACTTGTATTTCAGTAATTAAGAGTAAATCTCCTTAATTTAATTGTTGCTGGTTATTACCACATTAATAGGTCTTTTCTATTTACTGTTCATTGGTGAGAACTCAGGGACAATGCCATGAGAATGATCTGTCCTTAACTAGTAAGCTGAATCAATGCACTACACTTAAGGTTTAAGTTATAAAGTCTATAAAAATTTAGAAAATATTTATGAAGTCATCATGGTTGTACCCTGCTCTGAGACTTTTCAGTTAAATAGGAAAGGAGAATAGTCTTGTTAGAGTTTTATACATCACAGTTGTGCCACTTAGTGGTTCGTATGACTTTGGTAAACTCAGTGAGTCTTAGTCTTATTTCTGTAAAATAAAGGGCTGGGTTGGCTGGTATGTGTGATCTCTTCCAGCTTGAAGATCCCTTCACTCTAAACAGTTCCATCAAGGAGCGCCTGGGTGGCTCAGTCCATTGGACATCCATTCAGCTCAGGTCATGATCTCACGGATTGTGGGTTTAAGCCCTGCATCAGGCTCTGTGTGGACAGCTCAGAGCCTGGAGCCTCCTTTGAATTCTGTGTCTCCCTGTCTCTCTGCCTCTCCGTGGCTCATGCTCTGTCTCTCTCTCTCAAAATAAATAAACATTAAAAATTGTTTCTAATAAATACGTAAATAAGTTACTAGTTCCATCAAGCCATGCATAGATTCCACTTTCTGCTTCTTTGGAGGAGACCTTTATTGCAGCCCAAATTGCATTTTCGAAAGAGTTGCATTAACAATTTTGAAATACCACACTTACCTTAGTCTTAAGGTAGTGATCAATGGGACTTTTTAAAAAATACGAAATACAGATTAAATGTACATCACTCACTGTGGATCTCAGGTTAACAATGGTATATTTTATGTTAGAAAGTAAAATGCTCTACTTAAAAAAAAAAAAAAGATTTTATTCCATCCGAAGCCACCATCAACATGACAGTTTTCCAATTCAACCATCCAAAGCACATCTGTCTGGAATAATTCCTCCTACCTGCCAGACCAGGTGGGTTCTGTGATTTCAGGATGCTGCAGGGATTTGGGTGTTAACTCTGACTCTTTCTCTAACCAGCTGTGGATCTTAGAAAAAGCACCGATGCTCTTTTGTGATCAGTTTCCTCTTCTGTGGGTTGAAGGAACTGAAGACAATGATGCCCAAGATCCGTTGCAGGTCTCAATTCTGTGACTCCTGGATAAAGAGGTCTGTTTACAGGAGGCTGCAGGAGGCCCTTCTCAACCAGCTCTGGGAGGGCTCCCTGTGCCCCACAGCCCAGCAGGAGAGCGAAACTCACAAATACTGAAGAGCCACCTAACAACTTAATGAGCTCTAATATGGGCGGCTAGATTTTAATTTTCACTTATAGCACATTCCCTGGGGTAAAGTGTAATAAACAGTGGGATAATAAACACATAGGACATTTTGATTGCTGGAGGAGATCTCATTTGGAAGATCAGGTTTAAGTCACATTCCTCGGAAGTTTATACTACCACAGTAAAATAAAAGTTCCCAAAGGAATGTTTACACTTCGAGTTTAAATCTGCTGGAATGTCAAAGTCTCCCTGGAAGAGGTAAGCACCTGTAACATTTAAAATGGTAAAATCGCAAATACTACTACTACTACTAATCTCTTTTAAGTTTGAATAGAAACCAAAAGGAACCAGGAGAATTCCAGAGAACACCTTGATATTAAACTATTAACTCTGTGGTCATGTGTAATATCAAATTGTAGCAGAGTTGGAAGAAATGCATACATCGGCCGTACAAGCACACAGTCAGTCAACTCTATGTATGAGAAAATGGATCATGTATAGGATGCAGAGGAAGTCCTTTTTCCTCTTTGGCAAATTTTGATAGTAACGCTATCATATAAAGACCAGGCCACCTCATAAGCTAAAGTCAGCCTCTCTCCCTGAATTTTCAGGATTTAGCTACTCCCCACCCCACACATGTGCATCATAGTTACACATTACTCTAGTTTTCTATGATCATGGACCAGATGTCCTTTAGATGCTTTGTTCACATCATCTAAGGTAATCTCAATGGCCCAGAAAAGTAGCAATTGTTTGTTCTATTATATGATGGTAGAAACTGAGGTCCCAAGGTGTTATGTGCATGCTGTAATCTGCTTTCCTTCAAATGTCAAAGAACACTGAAGAAAGACAGCCCTTGACTACAGCCTTCCATTCATTCATTTATTCATTCATTTACCCATCCATTCATTCACATATACATTCATTTACTCATCCATTCATTCAGGAACATATTCTATTTTTAACACACTTCCTTCTATGGAAAGCTTCCTATAAATCCAGCCCAGGTCCCGTTTTTATTCAGTTCTCAGTGGAGATGGGAACTCAGAGAAATAGCTCAATTGTGTCTTTGCCTCCGTTATCTGATTACCCCTCCATCTTGCCTTTCCAGGTTAAATTATAAAATTTCCTTTCTGGTTCTCTTTGCAATCATTTTCAAATGACATTTTCTTTTTTAGGAGCAGAATTATAAGCAAGAAGCAGGATTCTCATAGTGAAGAGTGAAACAGAAAGATTACCACGGCGTTTTTACATTAGCACTGTGACATTTCTAATAATCTACATGGAAGAATATTTTTTTTAGCATTCTCCTAAGTGCCTCTTGAAAACCTCTGTGACATACTCCATAGCTACTGACTAATTTGTTCTGGCAGAAAAATGACTTCAGTATTACTGAAAATATGTTTTCTATCACCAGATCTTATTCAGGTCATTGAGTGGCTTTTCACTGGTGGAAGGGAGTAGAATTTACCTTCAGTGGAACATTAGTGAGAAGAGAGAGGGAAATAACATTTTGACCTACTCCAACATTAGCGAAATGCAAATCATAGTCAATTTTCCACGAGGTGATATTTCAGTAGTTTGCATTTCTGTAGTTAGGCATCGATCTGATTTTTTTTTTTTTTTTTTTTACATGCAAGGTAAATGAAGGGTGCCTGGAGCCGACTGAATAAACAACTGTGAAAAACTAACTTTAAGCAGCTTTCAGCTCCGTGGCTGAGATAATGCCATTTCTCTAGAGAAGTTCTAAATATAGAGGAATAATGGATAGCAGTTTACCACAAGCTGTGTAGTTCCCTCCTCCAGCAGGGGATGGGCATTGAATGCGGGAGGACTCTACAGTCCCACAGCAATTTTGGGGATTGATTAAGGATGCGCTAGCGACAGTTTCCAATGGGTGTGGAAAGGTGGGGGAGGAGTCTCATCTCATTCTTTTTTATCTTCCCATGCAGAAATGTGGGGAGCAGTGTAAACTGCGGATGTGGGCGATTGGGATGTTAAGTGGGAGAAAAGAAAACTCTACATTCTTCTTTTTGGAAATAAAAAGAGATAAAATTCAGCAATCATCAAGCCTTTCACTTGCCTACAATTTGTCAGCACAGTTAGGGGGCTGGCTCTTTTTCCATAGGTGAGATTACTTCCTGCTGACATCAAGGGGGGTATGGTGGCCAAATGTGTGAAAAAGAAAATTAAGCTTGAAAGGTGGCTTTTGTTTTGATGTTTGCTAGACGTCTTCTCTTGTGTTAAAATTAAATGTATGGGTCTAGTGGCAGCCATAGGATTTTCATGCTGAAAACGCAGAGCAGTGTTCTCTAGACAAATCCCTAGATGCATGAAATACTTGTCAGATTTGATAAAGAATTATGACTTCTTGGATTTTGTCTTTAGCTATGCAGCACAGAAAGATCTGAAAATTTAGCATTGCACTCTGTGCAAGCTATGTCAGAGAGCGGTCACCTCCATACTAATGAAAAGCTCCCTGGTCAAAATCACACCAATAAATGCACGTTTAATTAGTTTATAGACATCCAAAGAAAAAACATTCAAAGCTTTTCTCATAGATGACCTTTCTAAGAGCTAGCTTACCCTCACATGCCTCAGGGCAAAATTTTAACCCAAATGAAATAAACTGAGATGCAGCTGCTTATTGAATAAGACTATTGTCTTTAGATAGGATTTTAACTTTTTTTTTTTTTTTCAGAGTTAGAACTTCATACTGGCTTCTGGAGGTGGCTTGGTGGTATAGCGGCTTAGATTTGTAATTTTCTAATTAAAATGTATCTTTCATATCAATGTTAGAGAAGTAAGTAACAAGCTTAATTCATGGCATTTAATCATTGAGATTTGTTTTGACATTTCTAGAACATGGAACCTAATACCGAGATGTGATCACTTTGCCACAGACTGGCAGGGAAGGTGACATGCCACAGGAGGATTTACAAACAGAGGAAAACGCAGACTAGACCAGTGGCGGAAGGAAAGCTAGAAAAGATCTCAAAGTAAAAAAAGAAAACTCAAAGTACGTAAGATGATTTTCAAAATGCTGCCCTCTGAGGTCTAGGAATAATCTTGTACACATTATCTAAACTTTCCTCCATCTCGTCATGCTTTGTTGCTCTACAACCCTTTAGCCTCTTTAGAGTCAAGGGAAGAAGAACAGGTTGAACGTAAAAATAACTTTTCTAACCGATAGCCAAAGGGCAAATGCTTGGTCCACTCTGCTGAGCACGTGGCCTCCTCTGGAGCCGTTAGCTCAGGGCTCATCGCCCAGAGCTCAGAGCCTGACAGGACGCCCTAATACTATCTGGAGATAGAGGATATTTAGGAACTGTCCCCTTCAGTTGCCTTGCACCCTATAAGAAATCCACCACCAAAATGCCATTTGTCAACTGGTCCCCCCAAGCCAGCCTACCTTCCCCGTCCCAGATGAGGGCGAACTGCTCATTGCTGACCTTGGTAAAGGGATGGGGTTTGGAAACAGAGAAGCAGAGTGGTGATGTCAACAATCCGATTTTTTATCTGAAGCTTTTGCAAAGAAAAGGATGGGGCGACTGGGTGGCTCAGTCGGTGAAGTGACTTCGGCTCAGGTCATGATCTCACCGGTGGTTCAGGGATTCAAGCCCCGCGTCAGGCTCTGTGCTGATGGTAGCTCAGAGCCTGGAGCCTGCTTCAGATTCTGTGTCTCCCTCTCTCTGCTCCTTCCCCACTCACCCTCTGTCTCTCTCTCTCAAAAATAAACATTAAAAAAAAATTTTTTTTTTTAAGAAAAGAATAAGAGTTTCAGTATCAGATAGACATGCTTGAATCCAGATTCTGACACTCAGTGGCTCTCTGTGGACAAATTTTGAACATCTCTGTTCTTCAGCTTCTTCTGTTGTAGAATGGAGAATGAAATAACAACTATTTAGGGTTATAGGGACGTCCAAATGAGATCATGTGTGTAATATACTCAGCATGGCTTTTGGCCAATAGTAAAGGCTCAATATCTTTCTTATTCCTTTCTCTTCTCCTGTCCATGTCTTTCCTTCTGGCTCTGCAAAGAGATTTACTTTTTTGATAGTTGCTTTTTCTCTTAGGCTATTAAAATGTGTTTGTTTTCTCTGAAATGATGTAAACCAAGTTTAGATCATGACAATGGCACTTTATATATTGGTCAGGTGTGTACTGTTCTGTGATATCTGGAGTATAAGAAATGCCATACCTTTTCATATTTTTGAAAACGAATCCAACTTGAGCTCACATTTGCCGAGTTTGGGAAGAATTCCAAAAGCAGTCAGTTCAGAAGGTAGGGTATCCCTTTCTCATGTGGATCTGACAGACATGCTAGGGGCTAATTCCTTATATACAAATGGGAAGAGGCCTGATTCTCAAGAGTCACAATTTTCCCTGCCCTTATTGTTCCATCACTTACTCAGTGCAGCTGATTAGTGCTCCTCATTTGTCTGTTGGCATCCTGCCTCAGGCAGATTCCATAGACACCTCTCACGTAGTCCACACCACAGGCCACAGGAACATTCACAGAGGCTCCCAGGACTCCTTGCTGGGTTGAGACCCCTCCTGGCATCCATGTTGACATTCCTATACCAGAATATATGGCTTTAGAGCTTCTGTAACTGAAAAATCCACCACCTCCTTCCCACATATAACAGTCAGAATAAGCTAGGTTATGATGTGGTAACAAACAGGCCCCACATATAAGCAGCTTCAATCAACAGACGTTTCTTTCCAAGCCTGCCTCTTTTTGGTGGGGGGACGGGGGAGCTGGCATAAGAGTATACGTGGGGGCCCACGTGCCATGTGTCTAAATATTTAAACATTATAAAGGAAGATAACAAGCCATGAAAAGAAATACGCTCTACCCTCTTACCTAGAAAAAGATGTCATTGTAACAACCTGGGAAACCAGATTTGAACTTAGAATTCTGAGACTGCTTGAAGTTCTGTGCTGGAACAAGGTCGTATAAAGCTAGAAAGCCTTTTGGGCTGTCCTGTTCCTGCACAGCCCAGCCTGCATGTCCAGCTCTATAAGTCTGCTTCTTGGCCATCCCCTGGGTGCAGAATGCATTCGTGAAGGCTCTGACAGCAGGCTTGTAGTCATTTGGGTGAGGAATTCTAAGGGCCCTTGTTATGCCAACCACAGAAACAAATTTGCAAATACAGAATCCACAAGTAAGAGGATGGACTGCATCTCACTTGTTGTTTGCTCAGTTTTGTCAAAAATTTCCTGAAAGAAATTAACAACAGGTGCAGAGAAACAGGAAAGGTGAGGTTGTCGTTCTTCCGACCATCATGGTGCAAAGAAGCCCAGAATTTGAGAATTCAGTGTTGAGTTTTTCTAAGAAAGAACTTTTTTACCGGTAGATCTCCGGGTAGGGTGGAGGCCGACAAATTAAGCACCGGCAATTTACGTAGCTTTGTGCCGCCCAGGACACGCAGGGTGCAGTCAGCTCATGCACTCATACCCCTCATCTCACCTAGGTTTCACCAGCCTCCGGGGCGAGGAAGGTGGTTAGGGTGGATGGGGCAGGATGATTGTTACAGCCTCCATTTTCAGATGAGAAAATCAAGATTGAGAGAAAGGAAGAGAGCTGAAAACTGGTCCTCCAGTGTGTTCTCTCTCTCCAACTGCTGTGTGTTCCTGCGGTGTAGCCATCTCAAAGTCAAGGGAGAGTCCTGTAAATCCACCGAAGTCAGCCACGCAGGAGGTTCTCAGCAGTTTAGCCTGACTGCCATGCATAAAACACACGGTTTTAGGTACTTGCTTAAGTATTCCTACCGAGGACTATCCTTCCCCTGTCTTACCTGTGTTCCTTTATTGGGTGATTTTTCCTTAGTTCTTGAAGTTCTTGACAGCCCTCAAGAGGCTACAGAACCAGAAAAGTCACTGTTCTAGGTCAACTGCTTTGAATCACGCAATTAATCATAGGCAGAATACTAGTAAGTAGAGCACCTGGCCTAACCACTCTTTCCATTAGAGGAAAATAAAATAAAATCTGAATACAAGAAAAAAGAAGAGATGTCACACGCCGTTTCCCCTGCCTCCTTTGATCTCTGCTTATCGTCTGCAAAATTTTTGCCTTCAACAAACGAATGGCCTGCTCACCATGGGCCCGGCATTGTGCTAACAGCTCTACTTGCAATTTCATTAAATCCTCAGATCAGCCCTATAGGGCCGTCCTCTTTCCGTATAAGAGAAGGAGAAGGCTTAGAGAGCTTAATTAACATGGCAAAGGTCACACGGCTACTGAGTGGTTGAGCTGGAATTAAAATCCCTACCAGTTTGGTCCTAAAGCCTCGCCGTGCCTTAATCAGACCTTGTTCTGAGCACATGGGCAGTTTCATCATAATATCGATATGTACCTTTCAGGACTGTTGTACAAATTAACGAAGTGATGTATATGAGAAGTGCTAGGCAAACCATGAAACCCAGCAAAAGCTTGCTGTGATTATTTCTCACGGGTTTCCACAGGGCTAGCTCTATTGTCCTTGGTGGCCAAGTCTATATTAATCCCATAATTCATCTTTAATCCACCAAAGTCTTGTTTGCCTGGTTTTCAGCATAGCCAAAGGGAAACCAAAAATATGTCTTTTGTTAGTAAGGCTTAACACCTGCTGTGGAAGGTGGCGGATCATCAGAGAATAGATTCATCTACAAAAGACTGAGATTAATTTGGACATCGTTTCCCTGCATAAACCAGACACAAAGAGGCAAGCAACCCAGGGAAGGATAATCATGCCGGGAGCAGAAGCACTTATTATAAATAATTACCAAGTAATTAGCCACAACTTCCCAGAGTCTGTAGCCTGCGGCTAGTCTTAGGAGGTGGCCCTTCCTCACTAAGTGTAAGGAGACTGAGGCTCTTCCCTGAGTTTCTTAAGGGCATGCATCTGTGTCTTACAGCGGGATCGCACCATCTGGGGCTACTTCTCAAGACTACGGCCAAGGTGCGGCACAGCTGTGAGGTCATTCAGCCGAACCAAGTCGCCTTCCTTTTTAATAGCACAATGACATTTTTGCGAGTGTGTGAATGTGACATGTCCAACTTCTTTTCTTAAGCAGTGTGGTTTATAGTTTATTGAACAAGTTAGTACACCGTGCGGGGCATGACATTCTTCATCCCGGTGTGCCTCTGAGCTGTGTTTTCAAAGCCGTGAGGTGCCCGTTGAAGATATGTAGCAACACTTAAAAGGAACAGCGGCAGAAGCCTTCACAAGTGCAGGGAGGGACACATTTCCAAGAGGGGCATGATTGTCTACAAGGTTAATCAATTCCCCTTGTTTTCATCACAGGTCCACATTTATCTTGGAGGCAGCAGCTACAAATGTGAAATCAAAGTTCTAAAGCGAGACAATTGGAATTGTATTTACCTGCTGGAGACGTGGAAATGGGCTCCTCTCTGTGTCTTCTTAATTGGAATTTAAGGAACATGGCAATGCTCTGGCCAGAGGTCAGGGAGGGGCACGCCTTTCTGTGGTGTCCAGATACAATGAAAAACAGTGGGGGAGAGAATACAATTCATTATCTTGGATGAGACAGTTGAAAAGGATGGGTTATAAGCCTGCGTGATCATCATTATGATTGCCATAGCTACCATTTACCGAGCCCATTCTGTATGACACGTACTTACATACACTATCTCACTCCTCCCTCTTAAAAACACTGTGAAGTAGCTAATATTATTTTTGCCATGTATGGATTAGAAAACTGAGATGAGGTCACTTGCTTGAGGTTACCAGATGGCAGGGTCTAGATTTGAACCTGGGTTCAACTCATGTTCCATCAGGGCTTAAGAAACTGCAGTCTCCTCAGAACATGTGGTTGGAAAGAATGCAAGTGCTTGGGGGAGCCCACTTGACATCTCCTGGTCTGATCGACCTGCCAGTTATATTTTATTATTTTTTTACAATGATTTTAAGTTTGAAGTTAAGACATTTTATTTTATGTTTTTAAGCTTTTATTTTTAAGTAATATCTATACCCAGTGTGGGGCTTGAACTCACAACCTCAAGATCAAGAGTCACACGCTCTACCAACTGAGCCAGTCAAATGCCCCAACCTGACAATTTTATTTTAGTTCTTTCATTTATTATTATTATTTTTAAATTTTTTAAATGTTTTATTTGTTTTTGAGAGAGAGAGAGAGAGACAGTGTGAGCAGGGGAGGGTCAGAGAGAGAGGGAGACACAGAATCAGAAGCAGGCTCCAGGCTCTGAGCTGTCAGCACAGAGCCTGATGCGGGGCTCGAACCCATGAACCACGAGATCATGACCTGAGCCGAAGTCAGATGCCCAACTGACTGAGCCACCCAGGTGTCCCAATTTATTATTATTTTTTGATGTTTATTTATTTTTGAGAGAGACAGAGTGCGAGCAGGGGAGGGATGGAGAGAGAGGGAGACACAGAATCCGAAGCAGGCTCCAGGCTCCCAGCTGTCAGCACAGAGCCCACGCGGGGCTAGAACCCATACACTGTGAGATCATGACCTGAGCTGAAGTCGGATGCTTCACCGACTGAGCCACCCAGGCGCCCCAACCAACCTGACAATTTTAAATCTTTGTTTTCAGAAAAGCCCATCAAAGAAGAAGGGTTAACTAATTTCTCTGCAAAGCCATTCTTTTGCCCACTTTTGAGTACTCAATACAAGGGCTAAAAATATTATTTCCAGCAGTTTGATTCTCCTCTGCAAGTTATATATTTTGATTCTTCAATTGTTAAGCCGATTCCAATTATGGCCATTTGGGGAGAAATGTAAAGACACACTCCTCCAAGGATAAGAAGCATCCGGCCGACTATGCCAAGGTACGCTAGTGAGTAGCGAAGAGAAGGGATACGCTTGTCTCTAAGGAAGACATGCATTAAAATCATCTCTGCTGCTGCTGACTGTGCCTGCACAGCCTGGATGGAAGCACAAATGATCCCCTCCGTTGCAGGCTGGCTTCCGGACAGAATTTGTGCATAGGTTCATGAGGTGGGCCCCTTTAGACAAGACACCCCACTGAAGCATGGATGTCAAGAAAGACAGGGTGGGTACTATTCAATGACAACACACAGTCTGCGCCTTTTTGCCCATCCCAGGTTTAGCTGTGCCCATATCCTCAGTGCATCTAAATACCTCTCCCAGCTGTACTCCCCTTTCCACAGGGATTCCAGTGGGTAGAATGGTGTCCCCTTCAAAATTCATGCCCACTCAGAACCTCAGACTGCGACCTTATTTGGAAAGAGGGTCTTTGCAGATGTAAGTAGTTAAGATGAGGTAAATCCCCAAATCCAATGACTGGTGTCCTTATAAGAAAAGGAGAGGACGTGCAGAGAGACAGGGAAGAAGCCACGTAACGACGGAGGCAGACATCAGAGAGGTGCAGCTACCAGGCAAGGAACATCAAGGATTTCTGGGAGCTGGAAGAGACCAGAGATTCTCCCCCAGAGCCTCTGGAGGGAGAGCAGACGTGCCGAAAGCTTGATTTCAGACGTCTCCAGCACTGTGAGGGAATAAATGTGTGTCGTTTTAAGCCACCCAGTTTGTGATAATTTGTTATGGCAGCTCTAGGAAACTCACACAGGGTCTACCACACACAGTCTGGCCCCAGTGCTCATCATCTTCTACACGGATTATTTGTACTATTGTTTCTCATCTGGTCTGGGCTTCTCCTGTGGCTGTCACCTCCATCCACACCCCCGCCCTGCAATGTACTTTACTTTGCCAACAGGTCTCTTTGAACCTGGATAACCTTCCAAAGACCCTCTGACTCAGTAATTCTGCTTTCCAGATTTTTTCCCCAAGGAAATAATTAGATGCACATAATTATTTATATGAGACTATTTCTTAGTGAATTAATAATAAGGAAAAATTGGAAGCAACTCAAATGACCAAATGTTAGAAACATTTGAATAAATTATGGTAGATTCGTATGATTGAATATTATACAGCCACTGTTATTATGTTTTTGAATTAACGACATGTGAAACTAATTGGGATGTAATGCTAACTGCTAAAAGCACGATAAATAACTCCATATAATATGATTCCAATTTTGTTTTAAACATATATTTGCGTAGATAAAAGATTAGACAAAAATGCATCATTTGGTTTATCTCTGAGGAGTCACAGCAAAATTTTATCTGACCTTTTTGTATGTCCTCATATTTCTATAATGATCATGTATTATGCTCATAATAAGAAAATAAGCAATATATCTTAATCAAAAAATTCAGACTTTCAGTACAGTGGCTTTCAAGTTATTCTGACGATATTGCATAAAATAAATACAGTTTGCATGATGACTGTTGTAGGCTGAACACTGCCTGCTCTCCCCAGCCACCCCCCGCCACAAAGATGTCCATGTCCTAATTCTTTAAAAAAAATTTTGTTTTCACACTTATTTATTATTGAGAGACAGAGAGAGACAGAGCATGAACAGGGAAGGGGCAGAGAGAGAGGGAGACACAGAATCTGAAGCAGGCTCCAGGCTCCGAGCTGTCAGCACAGAGCCCGACACGGGGCCCGAACCCACGAACTGCGAGATCACGACCTGAGCTGAAGTTGGACGCTCCACCAACTGAGCCACCCAGGTGCCCCAACATGTCCATGTCCTAAACCCCAGAGCCTATGAATACGTTACTTGCACGGCAAAAGGGACTTTGCAAATGTGACTAAGTTAAGGATTTTGAGATGAAAAGATGATCCTGGATTATCCAGCAGGACAAACACGGTTACAACCATCTTTATAAGAGAGAGCCAGGAGGATCAGAATGCGTAGAAGATACGAGGACAGAAGCAAGAGATTGGAGTGATGTAAGGAGGCAGCTGGAGATAAAGAATATGGGCAGCTTCTAGAAGATGAAAACAATAGGGAAGGGAATCAGATTCTTCCACGAAGCCTCCAGAAGGAATGCAGTCTGGCTGACATCTTGATTTTAGACTTCTGACTTCAGAACCATAAGAGAATGAATGTGTTGTTTTCAGCCACTAATTCTGTGGTAATGTGTTGGGCTACCAAAAGGAAACTAACACAAGGACCTAACACACACACACACACACACACACACACACACACACACACACACACCCTGAAACAGAAAGTTTCACAAGGCATGACTTACTCTGCTATGTTCTTTCCAACTTTCCTGGATTGAATTGAGTCCTCCAAAAAGGATACATTGAAGTACTCACCCTCCTCCTTTCTGTACCTCAGAATGTAGTCTTGTTTGGAAATAGGGTCTCCAGAGAGGTAAGAAAATTAAAATAAGGTCATTAGGGTGGGTCCTAATCCAATATGCCTGATGTCCTTACATAAAGGGGAAGTTGGGACACATGTGGAAGGAAGATAATGTGAAAAGACATAGGAAGACATCCTTGAAGATAGAGGAAGAGATGGCTCTGGCAGGAATTATTCTGCCACAAACCCAGGGGCACCCAGGGGCACCTAGGGCTACTAGAAGCTAGAAGAGGGAAGAAGAATCCTTTCCCTAAAGGTTTCAGAGGGACTATGGCCCTGAAGACACCTTGGTTCAGACTTCCAGCCTTCAGAGCCATGAAACAATGCATTTCTATTCTTTATAACCACCACTTATTAGTACTTTGCTATCACAGCCCAAGGAAACTAATAAACCCATTCTATTCTGTTCTAACCTATTTTGTTAAGGAAGTTGATTTCATTAAGAAAGTTGCCTCAACTATGAATGCCATCAGTCTTTGTAGTTCAACGTTCAAGTTTTTTCCTTTCTGATTTCCTATGTCTGTTTTAGCCAACGGCTAAACCTGAATATATCAAGTAGCTCTGAACAGTCAGTCAATCATTCCCAGAACACAGCACTGATTCACACGTGGTACGTTCTCTGCCTGTGCTGTCCCCTTTCTCGGCAATGTCCATTCATTGTTAATGCCCAGCTTCATGTCAGTTCAGGAATGATATATATCCCTGGCCCCTTAGGCAGAGTCATTCAGTCCCTGTTCTCTGCACCTACAATACTTTTTAGAGGCCTCCATTATAGCCCTTATTATATTGTATTATGGGATCCATTTAAGTGGTTCCTCCCTGCAACGAAACTTCAGGTTTTTTAAAGAAGACCACTTCTGGGGCTCCTGGGTGGCTCAGTTAGTTAAGCGTCCGACTTCGGCTCAGGTCATGATCTCACAGTTTGTGGGTTCAAGCCCCGTGTTCCAGCTCTGTGCTGACAGCTCAGAGCCTAGAGCCTGTTTCAGATTCCGTGTCTCCCTCTCTCTCTGCCCTTCTCCCATTCATGCTCTGTCCCTCTCTGTCTCAAAAATAAATAAACTATAAAAAAAAATAAAGAAGACCAGTTCTTTACTCTTCCCCCCACCGTTTTTTTTTTTTTTTTTTTTAATCTAAGCTTCAGTACCTAGTACAAAACCTGACACACCACAGATACGGGGTACTTCAATTATGTTAGTGCAATTTTGAACGTTAATAAATTCAGAAGTATAAAGGTCACAAACTTACAAAACTATCATTTGAAAGTTTACTTCTTTTGACTCTATTGTTTGACTTTTAATTATTTTAGTAGATGTCATTTTCCCCCCTTTGAATCAAGGTATGCCATTTTTCACTCAGGGGAACTGAAACAAAAATTAAAACTGAAAAAAAAGGTATTACTCAAAATTCACAAAACTAAATAAATGTAAAATACATTTCATTAAACTTTGAAATGATGTTTTTGTAAGTTGCAGCATTTATACCTCTGAAGTCGTTAAAACTCCAGGAAAACTTTGGCGACACCTGGATTTTGAATTTGTATGCTTAAGTAGGATTCATTTTTTATGCACTGTAAAATTCAAGTTGGTTTTCATTAAGTGGCTCCATTTTGGGCAAAGGCATTCCTTGGCTAGTAGTTGTCCTTATATCCTAATGTCCGCAGTTTAGAAGGCCCTCTTCTGGGGCGCCTGGGTGGCTCGGTCAGTTAAGCATCCAACTTCAGCTCAGGTCATGATCTCACAGTTCATGAGTTCGAGCCCCACATCAGGCTCTGTGCTGACACCTCAGAGCCTGGAGCCTGCTTGTATTCTGTGTCTCCCTCTCTCTCTGCCCCTCCCCCACTCATGCTCTCACTGTCTCTCTCAAAAATAAATAAACATTAAAAAAAAAAAAAAGAAGAAGGCCTTCTTCTGGCCCTTGACTGGCTGTACTTGTCCACATAGAGCGACACATCCATGGGACTAAGGCCACTGCGTGTCCTCTACCCAAAACCCATAACTCCCCAAATCTCTGGAATGCCTCAGTTCTCTACATTAGCTCTAGCGCTCTGGGAGCCACAACGGCTTCTTGGCATGATGGTCCCAAGGCAGCAGCTGCAAGGTGTTTTGGTTTCTGAGAAGCAACCAGCATTTGCCCCCATTCTAATGGCCAAAACTAGGTACAAAGCCAGCCCAGATTGAATGGGATGATGGAAAACAGACTCCACCTCTTGATGGGAAGAAGGGCCAAGTCACCTCACAAAGGATCATGGTGGCTTTGTTTGGTGCAAGTGACATAAGTCAGTCAGAGAAAGACAGATATTGTATGTTTCACTCATATGTGGAATCTGAGAAACTTAACAGAAGACCATGGGATAAGGGGAAAAAAATAAGTTACAAACAGAGAGGGAGGTCAACCATAAGAAACTCTTAAATACCGAGAACAAACTGAGGGTTGATGGGGTGCGGGTGTTGAGGGGGTAGGAAAAATGGATGATGGACATTGAGGAGGGCACTTGTTGGGATGAGCACTGGGTGTTGTATGTAAGTGATAAATTATAGGGCTCTACTCCCAAAGGCAAGACTACACTGTATACACTGTATGTTAGCTAACTTGACAATAAATTATTAAATTAATTAATTAATTAAATTCAAATAACGGATCAGAACTAGTCGCTCAGTAGCAGAGCCAAAATTCAAAGCCAGGTGGTCTACTGGGGTGATCTAAATAGCCATCTGAACCACAGGGCATGTGGGGACACTTCGATGCGGGAATGATGGCATTCTTGTGTTTTGTCCTACCTTGCTCTTGTAATCTCCTTACCATTTTAGTCTCTGTCTCCCCCCCTTCCCCCCACCCCTTGTCTGGCTCAACGTCCAGTACCTGCAGGAGGTTAAAAATACCTACTGATGTCACTTACAGGAGATGTGACCCTGAGCAGGATGCTTGACTTCTCTAAGTCTCAACTTCTTGCTGGCAAAATGGGGATAATCTTAGTACAGAACATATCAGGCTGCTGTAAGATTCCGATGCGATCCTGCAGAAAACCACCTGATGCAAGTTGGTGTTCCGTGAGCTCTTAGAATCAGTGACTGGAATGCGGACTATGGATGAATGCAGCGGGGGTTTTTAAACAGTGGCAGTAAAACACCACTTGGTTTCCAGATGCAAGCGCCAGGCTTGCAAGCACCAGGTTTGCAAGGACCAGGGTGGGGAATACTTACTAAACACAGTGTTTAAATTCTAAGAGCAACTGTAAAGCAGTAGGAGGGAAAATCAAATCACACAAAGGGAGAAACAAACCAGAGTTGCACCGCAGCCGACCTTTCTCTGTTACCTTTCCGGATTCCACTCTGGGAGTGCTCGATTCTTCCAGGATGGAGAGCTGCCCAGGGGCAGCCAGGGGAGGGGTGGTAGGAGGGGGTGGGAACCTCCCTTTGGCGCCAAAGGCCTAGGTCACGCGGGCAGCCAAGAGGCCCGCCCAGCTGCTGGGGTCCCGGGGGTTAGTCATGATGAGCAAGGTAAGGAGCAGGGTGTCGCACTTCTCGCCGCCTCCGCCACCGCTGCAGGGGCCGGGGGGCTCCAGTGAGGTGAGTGTGGTACTGCGCGCGCGGCGGGTCCTCGCAGTGTCGCAGGGACTCAGGGAGAGCAGGGCAGGTATCTCAAGAGCCCTGCGCTCAAGAAGGGAAGTAGCATCATCTTGGCCAGCTCGGAGTTTCCAGGTTGGGGAACTGGGGATGCTTTGCCCTTGGCTCTGGGTCCGCCGTGCCTGGGGGACATTCCAGAAGGCTCCTGGCACAACCCAAGGCCGTTGCACGCAGGCGTCTTTCAGGCCAGGAACCCTCCCAGTAGAGGCGCAATGGCGTGGTCACTCTTGGTGCAAAGTGAGGACACATCCTTGCTCCCTCAGCACGTCTCTTAGGGATGTTTTGATTTGTGGGTGCTGCAAAAGAGGGGAAGAGGGAAAAGCCTTCGATCTCAGCGCCCCACAAAAGGACATTTGGCCTGATAGAGGGAAGGAAAGCAGGAGAAAGACCCGGACTATAGGATTAGGGGGAAACTAGGATAGCTGGACAAGCTCCCTGACAAGTGGCTTCAATACTTGCAGGGAAGTTTCTAGGAGCCAGTGGGAAGCATCCAATACCTTTGAAGTTCAACTTCGCCTCATGGGAAAAAACAGGCTTTGGTCCATTTTGGATTCAAATCCCAGCGGTGCATTTTGTTAGTTGGTGACCTCGAGCACATTTTTTTAAAGTTTATTAAGTTTTTTAAGTTTATTAAGCCTCCGCCTCCCCATTTTATTTTTTTCTCCTCCGCTTAAATGTACAACTAACTTTTTACTATTTGGTTTGTGAGGTGAGGAAAAACAGAGATGTAAAGAAGAAAAAAAATCCAACTAGAATGTATTTTGCTAACTTGAAAAGTAACTTTGAAGAAAATTGTTCCAAATCAGAACTTTGATACTTGCGGTAAAGTGGACCACACTGGTTTTATTGGCATGTGGAAATCTGTACAGTTATCAAGACCCTTTGGCTGATGGGCCTTTCCAGATTTGTATTCCAGGCTAATCTGTCCAGGGGAAGCCCTTTGTATTGTAATGAAAGTGATCTTAGCAAGAAGCATCCTGGGCTTTTCCCTTTTGGGATTCAACATCCCATTACTTATCTTTGAAAAAGACCCCTGGACATATCTTTGTGTAACTATAGGATTTGATTTGCCTTTTTCTCTCTCTGCAATTCATTCTGTTTTCGCTCTCTGCGATCCACTTCAGGCCTTCTCCACTCCGGCCTAACACTGATGCTAAAATGAGCTTTTTTTTTTTTTTTTTTTTTTTAAGTAAGTTCCACATCCAATGTGGAGCCCAGTGTGGGGCTCATCGGAACTCAAACTCACAACCCTGAGATCAGGACCTGAGCTGAGATCTCGAGTTGGATGCTCAACCAACTGAGCCACCCAGGCCCCCCTAGAATGCGCTTGCTTAAAGCACAAGATGCTCCCCTCCTTAAATGCTTTCAGAGGCTCCTGACTGCAACCAGGATGAAGTATAAATTTCCTGCCATGAAATTCAGTGTCCTCCAGGTGACTCCAACATAACTGCACAGACCAAAGTCATATGACCGCATCACAAACTCCAGGCCCTGGTCAAATCACACCCTTCCTGTTCCCTAACATCACTCTGCTTTTTTTTTTTTAATGTCTTTGAGGGTAAGCATAGCTCCAGGCAAATAGTAAGCACCAAATCAATACCAGTTGAATGACAACAGAATTTAGGTAGGGGTATACCTACCTAAAGTTGTAAAATTGTTACACCTTTTCTGACAGTTTTCATAATCAAACACTCTATATTCAGGAATTGTGGCGGAGGTTTGCTTTCTTGTCACAGAATAATATATAGAGCCCTCAGCTGCCCCCTTAGGTTCTACCTTCATTGTCTCTTCCCTCTCGATATTACGGTTTCTCTAACTTCACTTATAAGGACACCAAATTAGTTTTATTTGCTTACCTGTGGCAAAGGAGGACTTCTAATGAAGAGGCTGGGATAGAGGAAGAGGCTTCTGAAAGGTCTGGCCTTGTGCTGAGCGAGGCAAAGGAGGGATCAGGGAAGTGGGGGTGGGGGACATTCAAGGCAGTTCAGCTACTGTCTCAGAAGTCTTGGTTCGGGGGGGTGGAAGGAACAAAGCGAGGCTGAGGACACATAGCTAAGAGAGCACTGACTCCCCAGGAGAAAGGGTTGTCAATCGTTTTACACCTGCGGTGTGGCCTTGGGCGGGTAGAAACATTGTCACTGTTCTGTTGGGAGCATCGCTGTGTGATTAACCAGCCGCGCGGATTTCCGGTTTCTCAGGGGTCTGATTTTCCACTTGTCCCTACACACACACACACACACACACACACACACACACACCACATTAATGCGCTAATGCTAGTGAAATTCATGGCAGAATCGAGTAGTGAGAGATCTTAGTTAATGACACCACCATCTGCCCAGCCATTTAAGCCAGATCTGGGAATCGTCCTAGATTCTGTTCCATTCCAGCATACAATATTTCATCTCTCACAGGATCCTGGTAGTTGTACCTTCTAATTATTTTTAAGTCTGCCCTGTCCACACTGTTACCATTGCCCTTACCTGGTTAGGCTTCATCATCTTCACTCTGGATTACAGTAAAGTGTATTAACTGTGCTTTCTGTCTTTTCCTTTAAATCCATCTTCACACTGTGGCCATAATACTCTTTTTATTTTTATTTTTTTAAATGTTTTATTTATTTTGAGAGAGAGAGAGCATGAATGAGGGAGGGAGACCACAGAATCCGAAGCAGGCTCCAGGCTCTGAGCTGTCAGCACAGAGCCTGCCATGGGGCTCAAACTCATGAGCCGTGAGATCATAACCTGAGCCGAAGTTGGATGCTCAACCGACTGAGCCACCCCAGCGCCCCAAATGGATATGATATTTTTACAAAAACTCAGGTGGTAGTTTCACGTATATATGTATACTCATTCATATATATATATATATTTTTTTTTTAATTTATTTTTTCTTGAGGATCTTGCCTATAGATTGTTCTGGTCTTACTGTTCCAACCTGTACTGGTGGCGCTTGAGGCATAGCTGTCATCCTGGGTTTTCTCTTGTGCATTAGCTCCCCTGCTAGTGAGATCATACAGCTTTCTCTTTCTTGGTTGTCTAATCTGTTTTGGTGGAACACATCTACCAGTGGCTTCCTGAGGAGTGGTATGTTAAGAACCCATTTTTGGAAACCTTATATCTACCTGAAGGTTTTCTTAATTTCTCCTTATATTTGTTTGATAGTTTGGCTGAGTGTGCAATTCTAATTTGAGGATCTCTGTCCTCTTCATATTTTAGAGGCACGTTTCCCCAGCATCTTTTAGCTGCTATTGAAAAATTCAGTGCTATCTTGGTGCTTGATTCTCTTTTGTGATATCTCTTTCTCTCTCTCTGGAAGGTTAATGACAGTCTCTTTATTCCTGGAATGTGTTCGGTGTCTTTTCATCCCTTGATCCAGGAACTTGGGGGTCCCTTTAAATTGGGGAGTCATGTTTCTATCTCTTAAATATTTTTGTATTATCTCTTTGATAATTTCCTCCCCTGTGTTGTTTCTTACTACTTTTTCTGGAACTCCCATTAGTCGGTCTTTGGTATTCCAGAATCAATCTCTTAATTATCTTTTTTTCCTCCTATTTTTAACCCCCTTTTCTCTTTTAGTTGTCTTTTCTAGGAGATTTATGGGTCTTGCTTATCCCACTCTTTCATCAAAATCTGAAAATTGCTATCACCTTTTTAGTTTTCAGGAACATGCTCTTGTGCTTCATTTCCTTTTGAGGCAGTATTCCGTTATTTAATGAATGGAAGCTCTTCTATCTCCTTAAAGATATATAAAGATAGATATAGATATAGATTGAAGCATTATTCTACTCTTTGTGTTTTTGATTCTTCTAATTGTTTTCTCTTCAAGTAATTTATTTTGCCTTTTCTTTCAAATTGAAGGTTTTCTTCCAATGTCCACCACTTCTTTGACTCTAGTTTCATAATGGGAGAAATCAAGTTGTTGGTTTGAAGCTCCATTGTATTGAAGGGATTTATCAGCAATCCACTGGCTCCTTTGTATTGATTGATGGCGTCCAGGAGATTTTATTGGAGGACATGTCAGTATGTGTATATATATGTTTTTTCTCCCTGTGGATTCAGGTATTCCAGAGAAAGTCCTTCAGTCTCCTGAAGAGAGTGAGGGATAGAGGCATATGGTGCTGGCTGCCAACTTTCTTAGAGATGAGTGTTCAAGGGGCCAGAGGCACATCACTGTGTTGACTTTCTCTTATTTTTCAGTTGGACACCTCTTCCCCAGCTTTTACTGTGTTTCATATTCCCACATCTAGAGTTTCTGAGGTTTAATTGTTCAAAGATTAAATCTCAAAGAACAAATAAATAAATTATGCAGAATGAGTCTCTTCCTCTGCAAGGGGATCTGAGGCTCTACTCGCTGTGATAGACTTTCATCTGTCCCTCTTGTTTTTAGCACCACACTCCCCCGCCACTTGCCTTTTCAGGAGGCACCTACCATTTGCTTTTCTGTAGTTTTGTGACGTGAATAGGCTTGTTTCCCATTGATATACTGCTTTCACTCTCTGCTAACTCTGTTCACTTTTCATCTAACAGCAACAGTAAAATTCTGGTCAACTATATTTGCTATTTTCTTCAGCCATGGGATTTGTACCTTAAAAAAAATGTCTTTACTTTAACCTCAGAGTGGGTTAATGAGGGAACAGGAATAAACAAATGTGTTCAATTCACTGTGCTTTCCCAGAAGGATTAGGTTCCATTTTGACAAGTTGAGTTTAGTATACCCATGGGGCATCGGTTGAAAATGTTCCACAGACAGCTGGGTGGATGAGTCTGCAGCTTTGGGGAAGAGGGGTTATTTGAGTGGTGTCAGTGGAAGGTACACTTGGAGTGAAGGGACCACCCTGGAGAGAATGTGGAGAGAGAGATAAGCCATGGATCAAGCATAGACTCCTGGGAAATCTAATGTTTATGGGGCAGGCAGAGGAAGAGGGAACCATGAAGGGAAATGTTCTAGAAGATCCATGAAAGCACACATTACAGAAGGCAAGGCAATGGTAAATTTATCAAAGTGGTAACTAATGATACCATTAGTGATAATGGTAAATGTATCAGAGAAAGCAATTAAGGCAGAGACCTTTGAATTTGGGTATAGCAAGATCATTAATGACTGGGGTAAGACAGTGTGGAAAGAGGTGAGAAAGGAAGTAAGAGGCTGACCACACTTTTGTTTTGTTTTTGTTTTTTGGTTGTTGTGTTTTTGTTTTCGTCTTTCCTTCAGAAACTACAGAAGTAATTATAGAGGGTGTTTCCATGGTTCAAGAACCAGATGAACAAATCTGTGGGCTTTTTCTACGGCATCCACTTTGGATACTATGCACACTTGATTTTAAAATACCTAATGAGGGGGTTCAGTTCTGTATTTATTTGTTCTTGCTATAGCCCATGCCTTTGTTGTCCTGTGGTTACCTGGATGAAGGTAGTTGGGCTGGTTTGAGTTTTAAAAATCATTTCCACTGATCAGTTCTCATAACTTTCCAGGGCTGGTGTGGGCAAGCCAGACTGTATGTGACTTCAGATTCTGAATATGTGCGTGAAGCTTGTACTATTAAGGATGCCTTTCTCCAATTATACATATGATGAAATGT